TATTAGTAAATTATATATATATGGCTATATATTAGTAAATTATCTATAGTAATATATAAATTTCAGAATTTGGAGGGGACCCAGAAATGGTTACGATCTATGGCGAAAGTGCCGGATCCGTGTCAGTTACATACCATACCGTATCTCCGATGAGTAAAGGCCTATTTCATCGCGCCATTATGCAGGTTTGAAGAGTTTCATTTTATTTACTATTGCACCTCTACTGTGCAAATACATACTATCAATATTGCATATGGCTTAGTGGAAATTAAATGATATAGGCCTACAATACAATCCACAGGGTGTGAAACCAGCGCCTGACACATTTATATAAATACTTTTAGTAAAACGACACAGCTGTTTTTATTCAACATATTTGTTCAGGATACATATCCAATGAAGGTAAATGTACAATAGTAAAATTGACAATATGGTCCTGATTAAAACAACAATTGATATTAATGAACGATAAAATTTTAAACAAGGACTAATGAATACAATACTTAATATTACACTAAAACACCAACATGGAAAATAATTCAATTAAAAAGTTTCTGAAAGTTTGTTTTAAAATTTGATCAAAAGTTTTAAATGTATCTAAAAAAAATCAATAGAGAATAATATAAAAACAAGTTAAGTATTCGATCACTTCTCCACGCCGGTAGTAATAAAATTACTAGTAAGTCAAATTAATTTGTCATCTAGAATTACACCAATATATCGATTTGATTTGACTTATAACAATTTATAATTTGTTATCTTATTGTAAATTGTAACATTGATAATATTTTGAAACCTGCAAGTGTAAATAATAATAATTAATGTTAATTGTTTTCATATATATATATATATATATAAATATATATATATATATATGTATATATATATCAAATAAAACTCAGGAACAAGGTATATATATTTGCCAAATTTAATACAGAAAATTTACAAACGTTTTCGGCCATCGGCCTTCATCAGGTGTACAGCATAAAAAAAGAAAAAACAATATATACAAATATAACGGACGTAAGACAAAGCAACATATGACGTGAAGTATTTTTTTCAGGCCTATACCTGTTTTTAATGTTAAATTTTACTGGGAATTTATAATATGACACTTAAATTGTAAATAGTAATTGATGATATTTGAAATTGTAAATACTATAAATGAATGTCAATATCATGATACAATGTTAAAATTGATTTTTATATTTTGAATGTGTTGTTTTAATGAGCGTATCTTCTAATTCTGTTATATGATATTTTGTGCAATGTTTGATATTTATGTAAACTCACAGGTTTGCCCTCTCGGATTGATGTGAGGTTTTTTTTATACCAAATAAATAAATAAAAAATTAATACTATTTATCATCATACATTTACTTTTTTCAGCGTTAATTGTATGTTTATTTCATCTATTCATAACACTTCGTAGTTGAAAGTTAACTACATCAATATCTTTATTGATGCATACATAAAAACATAATCTGCTGCAAACATACTTATTTTGAGGGGTTTGTAACAGCCTGATATATATCATTAATAAAAAGAATGAATAGTATTGGACCTAGAATCCTTCCTTGGGGTACACCGACATTAATTTGGTTTACCTTAGATTTTTTTTTTGTTATTACAATATGCAATTTGTTTTTGAACCATTTCATTTTAATTATTTATCTTGAAAGCCATATTTTTGTAACTTAAACAATAAAACTTCATGACTTGTGGTATCAAAACACATCGAGGAAACATGCACCAACACTTTCACATTCATTTAGAGCTTTTAGCCAATCTTCAACAACCCTATGTAGACAATATATCGAGTGGTTTTTCCACTTTTTATGCAAATTGCTCAATGCAGAATAAATTGAATTTAGTTAAGAAACCCATAATCTGTTCTTGAAGCTCCCTTTCGACAATTTTTGCCACGTGGCAGATTACAGAGATTGGTCGGTAATTATTAATTAAACTTTTGTTACCTTTATCCTTTATACACACGAGTTATTCTAGGTAATTTCCAATCACTAGGGACTTTACCATTAAACAATGAGAAATTGAATATGCGGCAGAGGGATGTTGGTATGAATGGGGCTGGAAGTCTTAACAATTTACTATCTAAATCAAGAATGTTAATGTTACTACTTTATTGAACTTATCAAGACGGTTTCTAATACTTTCCTACTGGATTTCATTAAATAAAAATAAGTATTCACATCGTGGATTTCGCCAGGTAGGCATGTGTTCATTAAATGACTTGGCCATATGTGTTTATTTCGTTACAGTCAATATCCTCGTGTATAGTATCATATATTCCTTTTCCTATAAACGTATTGAGTTTATTACAGAGTATTTTGGGTTGTTTTATGTTTCCTGTTTCCTTTCAACGTTACGGTTGAAATATTTAATTTTTTCCTGTTTTGTTATGCGATTTACCAGGTTTCTTGTTTTAAGGTATTCGGATTCAGTAGTATCATCATTGAGCTCAACAGACGTACCGCCGTACGTTTTAGGTAATAAAGGGTATCAACAAATTGTTTGAATTATTTTGCACAGAGTGGGACGTCAAGTATTCCATCTTTCCACAATGGAGAGGACACTAAGGATTTACAGCGTTCCAGGGCATTTGCGTTTGGCAGAACTCTGGGATGTAACCAGACAAATACCAAAGAACTAGTGAAATGTCTTCAATCTATCGACAGCGAAACTCTGTTTGCCAATTATTCAGTTAATGTGAGTACTGTATTCTAGCCTAGATATAATTAAATAACATATTTAGGTCGTCGGTTAACAGCTTAGCGATACACTGAATAGCCTAACCAGTAGTAGAAACGCTATCGGATTGAAATCTAAATTTTGAATGCTAGGAACTTTCGACAAGGTAACTTTATACAACTGATATATTAAACATAAGAATGAACACGCATTTCTTAGGCCTGAGCCATAAGAGTATCATTTTGAATTTGAATAGATTAGGCCAAATAGCTGCTTTGAGGCTGCCATTATTTATTTGGGAGATACCTATACTAACTCGTTCAGAAATCATGTTACATATTTATTTATCACAATGCATATCCTCTAATACTTTCACTCTATATAGACAGCGATTGAGAATGGGGAAAGCCCAATCACAAATGTATTTTCCCCCAACTCTGATGGCCAGTTCATGCTAGATGATCCAAGTGTTCTTCTCGACGACGCGGACGCAATTAACGTCGTGGACGTCATGTTGGGAAGTCTCGCCGATGAAGGCTCATTTTTCGTCAGATTCATAAAACAAGGTGATATATTCAATCGCACCCATATGGAAATGTGGACCAGTACAATGTTGTTGCAATTCAAAACCGAACTAGCAAGGGAAACTACCATTTTATTTTATCTCACTGATGAGCAGATAACACACCCAGAATCCGACCATACGAACAGTGCCAATCAACTGATGGGCGATATGTTTTTCGTGTGTCCAACGATGAAGACAGCACAACAACTCGCCGATGCAAGGAAAAACGTGTTTCTGTATCACATGACTCACGTACCTTCACGATCTGTGTGGAATATGACAGGACTTGGAGCCGCTCATGGCGTCGATTTAATATATGTATTTGGGATGCACTACAATGAAGAACTTAAAGACATAATTTACGGGCTACTCCCCGACGAGGAAATTCGATTAACCCATGCCATGTTATCCTATTGGACAAATTTTGCCAAGACAGGGTAGGCCGATGTTTTTTTTTTTAAATTTAACTAACATACAATATTTATATTATTCGGTGTTTTCAACAAATAGCAATGTTTTTACTTTACATAAAATATTTAGATTTGAACTCAATACTTATTGGGCAAGGTTATTACAAAATAGAACAACATATATATTACCAACATAACATTAATCTGCTCTATAATAAAACGATTTTCGCCAGGGTCGCAACAGTCTTGCATCAACGATTGTATAATTATTAACATTAACAGTATTTTTGATTATTCTTTGTATATATTTTGTAAAGAAAATATTTTTTTTTATCGGTCATCAGAGATCCCAATAACTCTGGCGGTGACAGTGATTTTGTCTCATCCTATCCAGAGTGGCCAAAGTTTTCTCTTTCTGACCACGAATATAAGGAGATTTCAACGAGCATGCGCAATGGCAACTTCTTGAAGCCGAAGGAGTGTAGCTTCTTTAATGATATTTTTCCAAAAATGGTAGAAGTTGAAGGTTAGTGGTTCTTTTTTAACATATTTTTTGATAATTTCTAGTTACTATGATAAACGATTAACCAGGGGAAGGCGATTTGGCACAGCGACTTCACTCGAACACACACTGACCGACCCCCGCGGCTGGCCATACTTCGGTACCCCACCTTGCACTTTTGACGGGTTGGAAAGTGGTTCATGCAATATTTCAGCCCTAGGTACAAGCATTTCATAGCTTATAAATAAAATAAGTACTGTGGAGGCTTCTAATCATTGTTGATAGTGACATCAGACCAACTATACCAAGATAAAGATTAAAAGTCTCACTCAATCTAAATTACAAGCAGGATCTTTATTGTATTTAGTTCGTTATTTATTTTCGACAGAAAAGTTGAAGAAGTTTGAGTCAGGAGAAAATCATGAAAAGACGAAATACACATGTCAATCTGATACATGTGACGGTGAAGATCCATAAACGATGACGCCTGCAAATATCGTATAAGCCATCACAGGTAATTGCTATGTCATCACTTTTACTGTTTAGTGTGAATAAAGAATCACATATATTTATTTGGTTATTTGTAAATGCTAATGATTCAATGTACAGTATGTTCCTTTATTGTGGGTTCTTAATAATGATCAGTTTGAAATAAAATTTACACAATAAACCATAAGCATTACTCAAATTACTGAATTTTTTCTAAAGTAGAGAATCGATGTATAAAATTTATTGTACTTTAGTAGAAAATTCCGGGCTTTTCTAGCATCTAAAAATACAGTTTTTAAATGTTTTCTGTTGATTTGTTTCATGGGCTATTGTACCTGTCCTTGATAGTGTTACAATAAAGAGATAAAAAAAAAGTCTTGAAGTAATGCTTAAGAAGATGGCAACATAATACATGTATATTGATCTCCTTTATGTAGTATGTCGAGAACTTATTTACAGCAGATCCCTATAGCGTCATGCGTCGCTTAGGGCATTCCCAAATATCTGCCATCCCGTCTTGTCTACTGCCTTCTGTGCCGCTTCTCCCCCAGACTTCCATTCGAATGCCCGTCTCTCTTTCTCAACCATATACGTCGCTATGTCTTTTGGTCTGTCAACGATCCTCAAAACCACTCGACAGTCACCCATCCTTCCTGAGTATAGGGCCAATCCATTGCCACCTTCTTGCTTTGATAATACCAGATAATGTGTGTACATCCAGTCTTTTTGTATAAATTTCTATTTGAAATAGTATTTATTCATTTTCCAACATTCGGATCCATACATTAAAGCAGACAGCACTTTGCTTTTGTAAATGCGGAGTTTAATCCTTAAGCTTAATTTATTTGATGCCCATATCTTCTTTTGAAGACATGATATAATGTCTGCTGTTGGACCTTTGCTAACTTCTCCGGTATTCCATACATTCCTATTATTCTCCACAATCTCTCTCTGAAGTCCACATAGTTAATAAATAGAGGACTGTTTCACTCCGCACTCAAGTTCTATAATACACTTTTTTTTTATAAGAACCAGTAAAATTTTGCCCAGTCTCAGCGTTCTTATTTTTTGGCCCATTTCAGGCTCAAAATGTTATTTTGTCCTTATATTTACACACTTCTCAAACATAGTAAATTATTATTTTACAGTCAGTATATTATTACTTTACATTATTATAGAGGGTGTTACATAGTAAAACCTACTGCAAATAAGGTAAAGATAGATTGTTGGTTTTCTATAAAAAAAAAAAAAAATGAAAACCTCATTTGACATTTTACCTCAGCCTAAATTTGTTGTTACCTTGTTCTTAATTTTTAAGAGATTCCAGCCTCCGTGTTCTTATGAAAAAAAGAAATGTACTTCACATCGTAAAATCTGCTGAATACAGCTTCCTCTGCAGAACCTAGCCTGTTCTTTCCGAAGCTTAAGCGATTGATAATGATTCTGCAAAATATATTCTTGGGAACTGAGAGCAACGAATTATACCGCGCCAGTTTTTGCAGTTTTAGCTTTCATTGTTAGTTTAATTTGTACTTTTTTTTCTGTTGATTTGTTTCATGGGCTGCTGTGCCTGTCCTTGATAGTTTTATATATGCAATAAAGAGCTAAAAAAAAACAACAGTCGTGTGTTAATGCTTAAGATGATGGCGCAACATACGGTACTGATCTATGTTATATGCAGTGTGTCGAGAACTGCGCTGTTCTATCTCAATGTGCTCAGGAGTGTGAAACAGTTTATGTGGTACAATAAACTCTAAAAAAAACTGTCTTCTGGTAATGCTTGAGACCGTAACATATTGAAATCTGTTATACGCATTTCGTCGAGAACTAACTTTGATTTCCGCCTAGATTGGGCTACCTTATTTTTACAGGCTCGCAGAATTGTAACGTTACAGAAGAAACTGACAACGAAAATAAAAATTACCTTCTTCACCGGGACTCGAACCCGGGACTTCTCGCATACATGGCGAATGTCATAACCACTTGACCATAATGAAGTTGATTTCTTTCATTCTTTCATCTTGGTGGATCGCGAATAAGCCTACTGCATATAATTTTTAATAGGCCTAATTGCATTTATATTTTGCAGGTAATACTTCAACATTCTGGTTGTTCGTTAATTGTCTGAAGAAATTTAGCTGTGATGAGATTTATTCCACCTTGCTCAGAATATTTAAAAAATGCTGAGATAGCTTAAACCTAAAAAACCGAAAGGTCCACTGATTAATCTCAGATAAGAAAGTATAATACATACTCCAAGTATTGAAATACACGCCATCGTGTTGGGATTCAATATTTCGACATTAATTATGTCATCATCAGGAATTCCTGATGATGACATAATTAATGTCGAAATATTGAATCCCAACACGATGGCGTGTATTTCAATACTTGGAGTATGTATTATACTTTCTTAGCTTAAACCTAACTTAGGTAAATTGTGCTGAATAATTAAACGCTATAAGTAAATTAACATTTTAATTAGGTTATCAGGCCTACAAATTTGTTGGTAAAGATTCTAGAATTTGATTTAAAAATGTAAAATGTGATTACGTGGTTTCAGTAAAACACCAAAGATTAGACCATCGAACCACCCAGATAGCTTAAACATAACATACGTAAATTGTGATGAATAATTAAACGCTATAAGTAAATTAACATTTTAATTACTAGGCCTATACATTTGTTGGTAAATATTCTAGAATTTGATTTAAAAATGTAAAATGTGATTACGTGTTTTTAGTAAACACCAAAGATTAGACCGTCGAACCACCCAGATAGCTTAAACCTAACATACGTAAATTGTGATGAATAATTAAATGCTATAAGTAAATTAACATTTTAATTACTAGGCCTATACATTTGTTGGTAAATATTCTAGAATTTGATTTAAAAATGTAAAAAGGGGTTACGTGGTTTCAGTAAAACACCAAAGATTAGACCGTCGAACCACCCAGATAGCTTAAACCTAACTTACGTAAATTGTGATGAATAATTAAACGCTATAAGTAAATTAACATTTTAATTACTAGGCCTATACATTTGTTGGTAAATATTCTAGAATTTGATTTAAAAATGTAAATTGTGATTAATTGGTTTCAGTAAAACACCAAAGATTAGGCCATCGAACCACCCAGATAGCTTAAACCTAACATACGTAAATTGTGATGAATAATTAAATGCTATAAGTAAATTAACATTTTAATTACTAGGCCTATACATTTGTTGGTAAATATTCTAGAATTTGATTTAAAAATGTAAAATGTGATTACGTGGTTTCAGTAAACACCAAAGATTAGACCATCGAACCGCCCAGATAGCTTAAACCTAACTTACGTAAATTGTGATGAATAATTAAACGCTATAAGTAAATTAACATTTTAATTACTAGGCCTATACATTTGTTGGTAAATATTCTAGAATTTAATTTAAAAATGTAAAATGTGATTACGTGGTTTCAGTAAACACCAAAGATTAGACCATCGAACCACCCAGATAGCTTAAACCTAACTTACGTAAATTGTGATGAATAATTAAACGCTATAAGTAAATTAACATTTTAATTACTAGGCCTATACATTTGTTGGTAAATATTGTAAAATTTGATTTAAAAATGTAAAATGTGATTACGTGGTTTCAGTAAAACCCCAAAGATTAGACCATCGAACCACCCACTGTCCATTTACCACACAGTACTAGTGAACTACAATAGCATTTAAAAGTGCTACACGTAACGTAGGCCTACCGTACGAGTTTACACATACCATTGTGTGTGTGTGTGTATTAGACTTAGGTCTATTACAGTCAATACAAATCGTGAATAATTAGTTAAAATTTAGTTCGTTTTTAGCACTTACCGTTAGTAGTTAATATTTGTTTTCACCTTATGCTTAAGTTAATCGTTTTTCGACCGATACGAATGTTAAATATAAATACTGTATAACAAATTATAAACTTGAAAATAATGATGGCAATAATATCTCATAATAATCTACTACAGTAATTTTATTTATTGAATAATTGCTTTACCGTAATTAAAGTTGACTGAATGTTATCCATTTATTGTGAATTTCTGTAAAATCCTTTATTTCATTAAAATCTTAATTTAAGACGATATAATAGAAAAATATATTTTTCGTAACTGTATTTCACGGTTTGTAATGTAACAACGCCACCAGCAAGCGACTTGGGAGAAATACAGTAAAAGCTGTCTAAAGAAGCTATAAGGATATTGAAAGATACTTTTACCTACATATTGCTGGTAAGTTCTAACATCTTCAATTACATGCCCATCTTACTTACATCTGTTGCTGAAAAATGTTTTAAAGCAATTTATTACTGAAGACATCCTAACACTGCATGTCATATTATTTCATCTTACATCAAACAACATGGCTTCTGAAAACAAAACCCGTAACAAGAAACTTAATTTTATTCTCCAGAGAATGAATTACACAATATTCTTTGTCTTTGGTTTTGCAATTTTACGTTGCACCCGGAGACCCGTTCTTATACCTTCTTAACTATCCGCCATACTAATGATTTTTAAAAATTTTATTTCTGTAGGCTTAAAGTATTTTGGCATATGAAAAAATAACGAATATCTCTGAGGTGCGGTCAATATCATTATACATATAACAAGCATTCGAAAAAAGAATTATTATTATTCGAAACAGCTATAACATCTTGAGGCTAGGTGTGCATATTCAAAGAGGAGGGACGGACGCTTTCCCCTAGTTTTGCCACTGTTGTGTTATTATTTAAATAACAACAAGTCAAAATGGAATACAAAATATAAATAACGAATTATATCATTATATCTCTGAACAACTGACTTACTTCAAACATAGATGTATACACATTAGGTTTTACAGAATATTTTCCCCCCGAGTGCTGGGTATCAAAATGTAGTTGGTGGCACCCCGTACTCCAGTGTACCAGATTAACACACCAATAATCCGATTCACTTTGACGAATGTTAAACTGGAGACTCAAAAATCTAAAATTCTTGTTTGCTAAAGGCGAAATTAATCGAATTTCATTTTGTCGAAATCCATTGCTTGGAGATCGCTACCATAGTTACTTTTGAACACTATCGGAGCATTTATAACGTTACACAGAAAAACTTAAGGTAGAAATTTAAATTATAATTAACAGGCGTCTCATATTTCAGAAAAGCGCATTTCTGGACATCATGAAGCATATTTTGTGGTTATGGATCCCGAGCCATCCTCTCTAACATATTATTTTCCCTGTTCGTTTATGTTGTTCAATAGTACTGTAATGTAATAAAATATCACACAAAAACACACAATTCGTAAAACGATTTATTCATTAACAGACCTCTTAGAATACAAGAGTACATTTCAGGGCATCTATGGATCCTTCCACATAGAGCCCCTCACTTTGCTTATGAGAAATTGGTTCCCCTTGTCTTAAAATCCCTGGATTAGCTCATAGGCTTACCGCTTGATGACGTCGCCTATGGATTTTCCCCGTCACATGAATCTGACTGACATGTGTATTTTATCTTTTCATGCCTTTCTTCTGACTCAAACTTGTTTAACTTTTCTGTCAAAAACATAAAGAATTAACAATAAATGAAAATCCAACTCCTTTGCCTGCTGAGTTAGAGTGAGCCTGCATGCATTTTTGTAAGATAATATATAAATTCTATAATATTCATCCTGTTATTGTCTTTGTTGCCGATACATTATCTATATTTAGGATGGCCTCATTCAGGATGAATCAATATTATACAGAATGATAACCTTAACAATTTGTAACAATGTGTGCAAAATAACAACTCACCTTCCATTTTTACAATTTGTGGGAAAATGTCATTAAAGAATCTACACTCTTTTGTCTTTAAGTTATTGTCATTGCGCATGGTCGTTGAAATCTTTTTATAGCTGTGCTCAGAATGAGAAAACTTTGGCCATTGAGGATAGGCCGAGATGAAGTCATTTTTCCCGCCAGAATTATTTGGATCTCTGTTGACGACAGACCAAAAAATATTTAAAGTTATTTTTAATTCGGAAAATAGAAATAACCAACAACAATACAATTACGCTATTATTTAGATAACGTTGTACTACTATTATTTAATTCACATGGATTGGCATGAAACACAATTTGGTGTCAGTGAAAGTCATTGTTTTTCAGAACTAGTATTTATTTAAATGTAAATGTAAATATTTTAATTAATATCTTAAATTATCAAAGCATTTAAGTATCAAAATGTAATATTATAATGTTGAGATTACAAGAAAACAGCTTACCCTGTTTTGGCAAAATTGGACCAATAAGTTATCATGGCTTTGGTCAATCGAATTTCTTCGTCGGGCAGCTGTCCATACATAAAAGTAAGGTCTTCATTGTAGTGCATCCCCAACACATATATTAAATCGTCGCCATGTGCGGCTCCAAGCCCCGTCATATTCCAGAAGGACCGTGAAGGTACGTGAGTCATCTGGTACAAAAACACGTTTTTCCCCGCCGCGGCGAGTTGTTGCGCCGTCTTCTCCGCTGGACAAACAAAGACCAAATCGCCCATCATTTGACTAGCGCTGTGCCTATGGTCGGACTCTGGATGTGATATTTGCTCATCAGAGAGATACAATATACTGGCAGTCTTCTTTGTGACCTCGGTTCTAAGTTGCATATACAACATTACACTGACAAACATGTCGAAATCAGTACGATTGAATGTTTCGCCTTGGTTTAACATTTTGATGAAAATGGTGCCTTCATCGGCAACTGTGCCTAGCAGGACGTCCACATCGTTAATTGCGCCCAGGGTGTCGAACAGAACGCTTGTATCATCTGGCATGAACTCACCATCAGCGTTAGGGATAAACACGTTTGTAAGCGGATTCTCTTCATTCTCAATCGCTGTCTATTTAGCAAGAGTAAACAAGAAGATATCAATATAGTCACATAAATTCATTACCATTCCCTATTCAGATGACAAATAAAATAGTACCCTATTGTTGACGAGTGTACTAGGAGCGATGTTTTGCCTTCCTAACGTATCGTACCGATTACTCAGTATATTCCCAAATACATTTGCAAATGGGAATCGAACCCATGACCTCCAGATAACTAATCTGGCGCCATGATTCTATTTATATGGAGGGACCGTGGGTTCGATTCCCGATTCGCTAGTATTTGGGAACGTACTGAGTATTCGGTACGCAAGCTCACATCGAAATAGCATTTGCAGTACCCGGTACTAGGGGCGGATTTAGGGGGGGGGGGCTTTTGAAAAAAAAAGAAAAGAAAGAGAAAGAAAAAAATGATAGCCCAGAATGCCTCAGATGTTATTTTCGGGCGTCTAAATCTAAATTTTGAGGGGACATGTCCCCGGACCCCTTAGGATGGTGTTGTCTCGTCGGCCCAACTTTCACCCCCCCCCCCCTTCGCGCCCAACTTTCACCCCCCCCCCCTTTGGAAATCTCTGGATCCGTCCCTGGCTACTACTTAGTGATCGGATTCAACACTAGTCACTAAGCACAAGTTCGGTAGTCTAGTGGTTATGGCGCCATTCTAGTTATCTGGAGGTCGTGGGTTTGATTCCCACCCGAATCACTTTTTTTTTCGCTAGTACATTATTTGGGAACGTACTGAGTATTCCGTACGACAAAAGTTAGGTAGGGCATAATATCACCCCTATGATATTTTCCTAAATCAAACTCAATTCGTAACAGTGTAGGCCTACTGTAGTCATTATTGATCTCGCGACGTATTGTTGTTTCCTAATTACATTCGATTTTCGAAACTTCTCAACTTCTCAAAATTTAGGTTTATAGTGTATCTGCTATAATAGCATTTCATTGCAATTCTGTAATTTAGTTGCTACAAATTACTCACATGACCAAAATTATGTGAAAGGATATTGATTTAATAATAATTTCATTATTTGATGCATTAACGTGTTGTCTAATTTGTAGAACCAGGGAACAGTGAAATTTAACTGTTCCCTGGTAGAACCATAAAATCGTTGAAATGACACATTTAAATAATGACGACTATACACCAGTTTGACACAGTATTTTACATTACTGCAAAAGAGTTTATCTCTCATTGTTCAGCAATATACTAGGCCTATCATGTGTATAAGCATATTCATTGTTGCCGTTATCCACTCTTTAATGCCATTTTGCTGTTGAGAGTTCTCAGAATTTAACATTTATCTGTCAATAAGTTTTCATTTCACATAAAAATGGAGGTAGACCATTAAAAGTGCTGTACAATAATAATTAGACTACTCACATTAACTGAGTAATTAGCAAGTAGCGTTTCTCGGTCGACGGTTTGAAGACATTCAACTAGTTCTTTGGTATTTTTCTGGTTACATCCCAGAGTTCTACCAAACGAAAACGCCCTCGAACGTTGTAAATCCATTGAGTTCAATTCACCATGAAAATGTGGAACTTGTGTCCCACTCTGTGGGAATTCGAAGAACAGTAATAGAAGCGAACACAAATGATAGGGAGCATTGCGTCGTTTTCAGTTTTATTAAGAAATCAAGTAATTATATCAGGGCTCGATTAGATGTTTTTGTGGACCCCTTAGTAGGCCTATCTTCTGAATGGAAAAAAAAAAGAAACGAGGAGGGGTATGTTAAATTTAATTTAGTACTCTAAAAAAGTAATATTGGGCCTGTAAACCTAAGATTGTGCTGAAAATAATTGGTTTTATGGCCGATATGTAAATGTCAGAATTATTTCATGGCTGTAGTTGTGAGTGAAAAATAATCCGAGATATGGAATATTTTACAAAATACATACATACAGTATAGAAAGTTGAAATCGGGGAGTTTGAGAAGATTTGGATTGTAGCTGAGCACACAGAAGGGGGTCATAGTTCTTACTCTGATGACATGAGAAGGTGGGGTGTAAATAAACAAATCTTCGAACCTGCATAATGGCGCGATGAAACAGGCCTTTACTCATCGGAGATACAATATGGTATGTAACCGATATGGATCCGGCACTTTCACCATAGATCGTAATCATTTCTGGATCCCCACCAAATTCTGGAGTTTGAAATAAACAGATTGTGATATATAGGCCTATCACTAATTTAATAATATAACATAGGCCTACCAATAGTTATCATTGAATTCTTAAATCGATTTTTGAAATGTCATATTTGCTTTGATAAAATTTTTCTGTGTCACTGTTTTACGTGAATTTCGGAAAATCACAGACATCTTAAATGCTTGAATAAGCCGTGCTCTCGGATAAGCGCCGCACCAAACAGGATTTTGTTTTCATAAGCTCCGCGGCGCCTAATTAAAAGTATATTATTGCCCTGTGTGTCTTAAAACACGGGTTTTAAATACAAAGTATACAGTGCTAAAATAAATAAATAACACAGCGAAGACACAAGCATTTCCTTATAAACGTTTATTTACGATGACGTAAATCCTATGATAGGCTTACAACTTGGAATACGTGGAATATGTAACATGGGAACGAGCATGTAAAGCGCCACGCCAATATTTGTTTTTTAAGCGTCGCTCTCGAATAAGCGCCGCACTGTAAAGCTTCCAAAAATGTTATAAGCGCTGCAGCGCTTTTTCGAGCATTCCCGGGACTCTCGCCTGTGGTAAAATCTATAAAAACCCTCTCAACATTACTAATTTATAAGCCATAAATTAGACGCAAATAAAATTAATAAGCCAATTCGTGGTTTCAACTATTCATGTCCGTATCGAACGTCAAACCTGCTGTGTGTATGTTTGTTTATTTCGATTGACCTTGATGCAGGCATGCGCCGTTCAAACTACGAATTGTTTTGGTTTTACAGACGTTTTACGACAACAATTATAAAACCGTAATTTCATTTAATTTACAATACCGTATATTGCTAATTGTCCTGATGTCGATAATGCAATCTCACTCACCGGCTATGTTATTGTGAACCCATTGCAGGGCTAGTACTTGATCTTTGAACCCCATGTTGCCGGGAACAACGTCATCACCTGTTATTAAAAAAAACCCAAAAAAACACATGTACATGTACGCGTTGTCATACTGATACATCTAGTGAAAAATAACGAATGGATACCGTTTTAATATCGTTAATGTGGTGGAGCTGGGAGATCAATTTATTATGCGTGATTATTTGATTCACCTGTTGAATAAATCTGCTGGAATAAAAAGGCTTTGAGCGGGTGGCTCGAGGTCCATTGTTGAAGCCGACGGATCGGTGTATGATGTTGTTGTTTTGCAGACCATGCTGATTAAAGTATGATTCAAGTAACTTGTAGTTATTTGTCGTTATTTTAATGTTACGGAACGCCATAATATTAACATACCGCAGCGAACTAATGTTATTTCCCTGATTTAGCAACTATTGATCGGATATGCATACAGTACGCATCTCATCAACGACATGGTGAAAAAAAAACTTCCAGGAGAAAAAAAGTACAAGATAAACCTCAAAATACCATAGGTTATAATAACCCCTAGCGGAGCTTTAGCTCGGTGGCACTGGTAGATGACCTGGGTTCAAAGCATGTAGGGCTACTAGGATTATTTCTCAAGACTAAAAATAATGCAACTTCTAAACTTGAAATTAAGACTTATTTTGTAAAGAATGGTTTTACTATGTATTTGGCGAGTCATACTGTACGCTTGCTGTTGAGATGAATGAAATTAATACAGTGGATATTTTAGCCAGTACCACGCTTACTCGACAGATTTTCATGGTGATTAGTGCTCCACCTTAACATTACGGACGAGTGATAAATCACTGTAAAAAAAACCCACCTGTAGAGAAAAAACCGAAGACGTTCAACCGGTAATTAATATTAACTACTATGACGTCACCGATGGCTGCCATTGGTACTTGCGACATGTTAGTGGATGTTCCAATACCGTACACAAACCCACCGCCGTGTATGAAGACCATCACGGGAGCATTAACTGGCTATATTTAATAATAATAGGCTAACAATATTAAATGATAATATTTACGGTAATATAACAAATAAATAAACACTGTGATGATATTTTAAATGTATTCATATGCACAATGTGTTGTATTTTTTTAAAATCACACTGGTGACGACATTATTACTGTGGAAAATTCTACAGGCCGTACCTATAAGTCTAAACAATATTGCTTATCTCTATACTGAAATGTTAAGACCACGGATTTATTTGTATAGGCCTAATATTTCAACCATAATAATAATGTTAGCCTACATCGCACTTGCATCCGGAGGAGCGTGTTTCCGGAATGAGAATGAGGTTCGGCTTTCTTGAAGGGGAGCTGAGTAGTGGCGTTGAATGATGTTATGTTTGTGCATGCCTATGCCCGGACCCACCAGCCTTGACCCCATTTGGGAGAGCTAAGCTTATTCAAATCCATCAATTGTCGGAGTTTCCGGGAGAAAATCACGCTCAAGCAGATAAAAATCACCTTATTTTGCGAGCTAAAGACCCCTGACCATCGCCCCCGCCCCACCCCAAATTCTAGTTACGACACTGAATTTGAGTCTCTGGCCGGTCCCACCCACTTATTCTCCCGTGGAGGAAATCGTCCTTTCCGTCGGGTACTTTGGAATCATCGACGACAAAATGTCTCTGGCACACTCTTTTCTTCTAGAATTCAATAAAACGATTTCACCCTTGGATTTGGTGTGTACACATCCAAATGGAGGCAATCTTCGCTCATCTCTTCATAGATTGGTAAGATATCCAGTCCCGGTTGAAAGCAGCAAGTCTGCGGACCGGTAGCTTCGAATACAGTATTCACACCCCATGATTTCGCCACCGGCGACATGAAGCGAAGAGAAGCAACGGGTGGCTCAGCGTACGGAATACTAAGGTAGGCATCCACGGTCTTTGCCTCTTTCAAGTAATCGTCGGGTCCGATGGTAACTGATTTACCAAGAACCTTACCAAACTTAGCTTGGACCATAGGTTGGGGCCCATCTTTCTCTGCCAAACAGTCGAGTCGGACACGCAGACAATAAAGAGATCTAGGCCTAGCAATAGGCCTACAATTCTAATACCCGCCATTGCAAACAGAATGCATAATAGCAAAGGATACATGTGACCAGCGATGCAAATCAAATTATACTAGGACTGATGGGAAATTATGCTAAATTACTTATGCTTTAAAAAGTTTTAAAATTTCAATTCCCCCTTCTCTGACAGGGGAGCCCTGGCACCCTTCCCCCGCTGGCGCACCCCTGTGGCGCTCCTACCTAATCATCAAGTCCCAATTTACCTTCACCCCCACTTCCCATTCCCATTTCAAGGTTCCTAGGTACACCATGGAGGTCGGGAGGGTGGGGAAAGCTGATTTTTCCGACGGAATAAAGTTGGGAGTTAGTGGCATTCCAGAACACTCACATGGGGCCTGGGGAACTCCCCTGAGCAGGGAACTGACAATGTCTCACACCCTGTAAAAAGGATTTTTTCCCTCCCCGAAGAAGATCCACTTTACAGGGGGTGGGGGTGGGGTGCTGTAGCCACTCGGACTCCACTGGTACCACCACTGATTACGTCATTGATTACTCAGCGTTTTACTCAAAATAAAAATATAAATGAACATTTTCCCTTGATTATTAAAATGGGTTTCGATAAGCTACCGTAACTTGTGTGTGCTACAATTACAATAAACAATTTCATATAGGATTCAAATCCAGTGGCAGATTCAGGAGGGATTTTTTCACAGATGGACGATCCACACCAGCCCCAACCATTGTGGGGCTGAAGAAAATGTATGATTATGGCAGTATAAATCTGTCATAACACTGGACTATGAAACAATATACAACTTTTAATGTTTTAATTATATTCATTGGCCTACTCCATCATAAATATATTGTATTTGCATTGCGAATTATTGATACAATTTAGTTAAATTTAGGCTATAGATCAACTGAAATCAAAGAACACATCCTCATAATAGTATGACTACTACAGACTAAGGTCTAGGGTTTCCACTGTAATTTTATTAATATTTTCAACAGATAGGTGTGTTCTAGTTAAGTGATAGAAGGACTAATGGCATCAAAATACGCCCATCGTAAATGTGGCTAGAGCAAGGGCAAAGATCTTTTTTGAGAAGTATAGTGAGGTGGGGAGCATTGGTGACTCTCATTCATCTCACTATGGTGAGGAGCGAAAATTTGAAGAAACAGTACCTCTAAATGACAGATGACACTCCTATATTATAATATAGTACAATCATAGTCAAAGTAAAGCATCAACACATTTCTCAATATTTTTTTAATCACAAACTTTTAATAACACTTGTTTCATGGCGTAACATCATACATTCCCTCTACCCATTTATACAGTTTATTTCACAAGTTTTCAGGCACATACTTGACAGAGAGTTAAAAGGTTCTAGTCGAGGTGCAGGACGAAGGCCTTGGCCAAAAGAAAAAAAAGAACACTTGAAGACTTGATGATGTGGTAGAGTAATTTGGAGGGGATCAGTAGCCCTCCACTGGAATGTTTTTATTTTATAGATGCCCGGAAATGCGCTTTCCCGCCTCCGGCCAATGTGATGGGGTAGGCCAAATAATAGATACTCAGAAGAGCAAGGATATTTGAATGCAATAATTTTAATTAACCTGATATCCAATTTTGCTGGGTTTCAATTATGGCAAATTCTATTTTGGTAGACCAGTTTGAGACATTTTACTTCTTAGGACAAAATGATGCTAAATTTGCTAAAATTATGCCAGCACAAATGATGCACTGTTCTTTCCACCAATGGCTGCACCCCAGGGGCGGATCCAGAATTTTTCAAACGTGGGGCGGGGGGACACAGCAGTTTCTGAATAGATAAGTGAGTAGCACATAACATTATTATGCATTGAAATTTTAAAATTTAGTGGCAAAACGGGGGTGGGGGCGTCCCCCCCTCTTTACTGAATCCATCCCTGGCACCACTGAATTTCATACGGTATCTTGCAAAAAAATAATTGACATATCGATCAGTGATACATAGGCCTGTGCGATTATACCTTTGTACCCTGGATAAACAACAATAGGTACGTAGTTGCCACTGGGTTTAATTTTTGTCACAGCAAAAGGACTGACTTTTCTCTCGACTGAAATAGAGTGTTATAATCTCGTAATTATAGGCCTACTATGTTTATTAAAATTGAAATTCAAAATTTATTAACCTCCCTTTGGAGAGCACGCAATCAATGACATAAAAATATACAAAAATACATTAAAATGGTTTCAAAAAATTAATAATACTATTAATCACATTTGAAAATAAAAACACTGATCTGGTTCTATAACGCAGTGGTTAGAACTCTCCAAATCTCCCTTACCTACCTTTTTTGGTACTGAATAATCCCTTTAAGTTAAAATATATAGTACGAATGGCTTCTATTGAAAAGTAGGAAATAGTTTTCAGACTTACATGCTGTTTTAAAAAAAAATTACAGTCTATAGTTCCGGAGCTTTGTTTGGGAATTATTAATGTCATACAGCCATTTAAAACTGAGACAAACTGCGGATCGATATACATAATTACGTCTCAAGCAGCTGGAAGATAGTAGGAGACTAAAAACTTGATATAAGTTTGTTATGTTACTTTTGTCCCTGGCAACACAGTGGAAAGTCCGTGAACCCAACATATCATTTCCTGAATAACACTTACCAGTATCTTATGATGTGAAAGGCTCACATTAGCTGCTTAACGTAGACTGATTCCACAGATACAGATATCCTGTTCCCAATGTTGGTACCAATACCTTTAATCAGATTTTAGTTATATTTTAATCTAGTGTGTGACTAATCATTGCTTGTCAGGGATGTTAAATCACGGGCGAAGTGTCGGTCTAGCTAATTGATACATCACATTATTCAAAAATATTGAAAACATGAAGTCTGACAAGACCTCAATAAGCTACATATGCACTAGACACGAGAACGACATATCATCGCGTCGTTTATATTCTGCAACACTGAGTGCATTGTTATCGTGTCCTTTGTTGTGTCGTTATTGTGTCTAATGTAAATGCTTTAAAAGAGATTTCTTGTCCCGTATCTGCTTTACTGTTCCGTTTCAATCTGTGAAAAAAAAATTAATTTAATTTAATTTTTAAGGTACTGTATTAACTACAAAAAAAAAAAAAAAATTAAATATAGAAATAACATCGAACACTAACAGCAATAAACTAGCCATAAACAGAAGTAGGTCCAGCAGCGTTGCCAACGCAATTAGTCTATTATTAAACATTCACCAGAAGTACAGGTGTATATATCACATCTACGTAAGAAAACAAAAAATATTAACTGTACTGTACATTGTTATGGATAGATTTGATTGTAGCATACCAGGAAGAGGGATAATACTACGGGCTTCCATCGCAGGATTCTTTGGTGCAATGTCCACGTTCTTCAGTTTCCATATCTTTAAGTTTTTCTGTTAAAAAACACATATGCATATTTATATTAAGTGTTTTCCAATAAAATAAAAAATATATTTCAGATTAACAATACACAAAACGACTGAGACCGGACGCTCTATTAGACAGCAGGTCATATCGGAGAAATTTAATTTTTAAGTTTTGGTATTTCAACACGTCATAACAACCATAATATACAAATTTAAGCATTCAGTAGTACAAACACTATTATACAAATAATTCTATTTACAGTAGCCATAGTTTACACGATCAAAAGTATTGCATGTGCAATCTTTTCAGTTCATACTTCGAAAGCTGTCCTCAGTTTCCATGCAGAAAATACAGAAACTCGACCCTGTTACAATGGTTCATCTAAGCCCGCTTCTTAGATATTGTGAAGTTCCCACTGTGTGGCACCCCATAAACGTAGGAGGTAAATGGGTGATCCTGTGGGGCATGCGCGTTTTCCTGAACGTCTTGGTTGGTAATTACTTCCACACTTTGATAATTGTAGGTAAATTTTACAATAAAACATGAATACGTTACAACCTCGACCTCGATATTCGTGTACAAAGGTTGTTCACAATTTACGACGCAACTGCTTCCTTTACATTTCGCCACGCAATACGCACGCAATACGCACGCCTATAAATATTTTATGTAGATTGTGTATTTGACAAACAAACCTACCTTCCATAGCAATTAGCCTAGGTAAAATTTCATTGAAGTATTCACAAACTTGTGGTTTAATATTTTTACCGTTAGGCATTCCAGTTTTTATTTCCTTGTAAGATTGATCAGATAATGTGTACTTCGGCCATTCCGCAAAATCAAGCGATGTAGAGTTGTTACCCGCGGAGTTTGGATTCCTGAAATTCAATAATTTTATCATTGACAAAGTAAGTATTCACAGAAAAGGATAACTAGAATACAACCACTCCATAGAGTGCATACTGTAGCTCCGACCTCTGCGTTAATTACCTATTTCTGTAGCGACCCCTTTCGGGGATATGAGAGCTAACTGTACAAATCAACTTCAACTAGACAAAAATGAGATGAATACCGAATAATACACACAGGGCGTCTATTAGTGAGACAGGAGAGTCCCATTATTTTCTTTTTATGCCCGAGTTTCAAGAAAAAAAAAGGTCGAATATGTGTGACCCTGACCTTTCTTTGACTCCCAAAATTGAATAGCTTAGTGGTTAAGATGCTTGCCTTCTAATCCCAGCGTCCTGGGTTCAATTCCTGTAACAGTGGGACTTTTCTCACAACTAAAAACAACTCCTCTCTAAGCATCAGAAAGAGCCTTCGCTAAAAGCATCCCATTATTTCATATATTTAAGAGAGCCCTGAATATCAGCCGACCCTCTGAGATATGCTGAAAGAGTAACCCTCTATAAATGTTTAAAAAAATACCAACCCAGTCTTTGCAAAATTGGTCCAATACGTTATAATGTTTTTGGTCAACATGATATCTTCTGTGGTAAATCCCCCATAAAGCTGCGTCATGTGCTCGTTGAAGTGTGAGCCGAAAACGTACGACAAATCTTCTGCATGTGTCGCCCCTAACCACGTTACTTTCCACAAAGACTTCGATGGAACTTGCGTCCAGTGGTAGGTGTAGACATCATTTCCGGCAGAAACTAAATATTTTGCTGCTCTTGTATTTGGACAAGTGAACCAAATATCACCAATCAGTTGATTTATACATTCCTTACGATCTGCAGTTGGGTCGGTTATATGATCATCAGTAAGGTAAAACAGTTTTGTTGTCTTCCGTGAGAGCTCGGTTGGTAACACTTTAATAGTCATAATATCAACAACCATATCAAAATCTGTCTGGTTTACGATTGGTGCTTCATCGACGTATGAAGGGAATACCATAGGCAAAACTACATTTCCCTCGTCTTCGAGTTCGCCTAGCATAACATTTGCTTCAATGATATTCGCCGGATTTTCAAATAGACTATCGGCCCTGTCACTAAGGAATTCTCCATCACTATTCGGAGAGAACGGGTTCGTCATTGGGTGCTCTCCGGTTTCAACATTTGTCTATATTCAACAGAAATAGTATTTAATGTAAAGTAATTATAGGACAATTTTACTACATATGGCTTAAGGTTGGATATGTTTTGATCAATAGCAATTGTAGCCTACTATGTGAACATTTTTTCTGTATACTTAATTGTAATTTCATCACAAAATCGATTTCCAGTAATAGATTAGCAACATAAAAAAAGTAAAAAATATATAATCATCAAAAACATAATTCTGTAGATTTACAATAAATAAATATTATTCTATAAAAATGATAACATACGTACATTTGTATAGTTTGCGAGTAACGTTTCGAAATCGACGGCTTGAAGGCATTCAACTAGTTCGCTTGTATTGGTCTTTTCGCAACCAAAAGTTTTTCCAAGTGCAAGGGCCCTTTTACGTTGCAAACGTCTAGTTTCTGGTCCAAGCTGCACGCCGCCAACGATAGTACCGCTCTATCAAATGTAAGTTATGTCTGATTAACATCACAGAATGTCGGGCCAATTTTACAAGAATTGTCTTGAAAATAAAAACTGAGAAGTCTTATTTACAGTTATTAATTTCATGTAATCAACAACACGAAACACTTTCTAATGGATGAGTTACTGTATTTAAATCAAAATTGGCCGTACCTCTTGCTTAATCTTCTCACAAATATTGGCAATAACCGTTGTGTTGTTCCTGCTTATTATTGTTGTTGCTGCTATATTTAAAATTGAGTAATGACTCACTTGGTTGGTTAGTTGATTTCTTGATTAAATTATTGACTGGTTGATTGTTTACTTCATTGATTAATAATCGATTTATTGTCCATCAACTACACAATCTTCATCGTAATTTCTCGAAGTTTATCAACACTTTTTCAAATTGTATTATATTGGTGTTTGTTCATTTTTAAGTTTAAGCATTATATATTTATATATTTCCTTTTTTGTATTAAATTATATGAAGCAAGCGGTTGCAGAGGTGTTTGTCACCTGTTGGCTAATTTCTGTCACTGATGTACTTTTATGGTGATAAGTTTATAAAACAAAACATTAATTCTAAAAAAAATGAATAAACCTTTCCTCTATAATTTCGTAACGAATACGACTCTATATCCACATTAATTTAACCTGTTTCTAGATGTTTAGTCACAAGTGTACCTGCATGATGGCACCATTGAAAAGACCTCTACTCATTGGAGAGATCACGTGATATGTTACCGACATTCCTCCAGCGCTTTCGCCGAATATTGTCACACTCTCTGGGTCCCCGCCAAAATCTGAAATATAGGCCTAATATTAATTTTAAAAAAAATAATATGGCCTAATAATACCAATAAATAGGTAATCACAATTATACAACCAGCGATATGGATTACAAAGTCATAATGATATATATGAATAGATTCATATATAAATTAAATTAACCTATTGGGTGAAAACTGATTTACCATCATTAGCCCACCCACTGCCGTTAGAAATGACTATGCACATTTATGATGTAAATATGAAGCCCACAAAATATGACCGACAAGTCAATCAATATTTATAATAAGGTGTTTGCAAAACATTTTGAAATAATTTGTCATTTATAAAGGTAGCAGATCATTATAAGATAGTACTGTATAATACATACTCCAAGTATCGAAATGCACGCCGCTCGTGTTCAATATTTCGACCTGAATTATGTCCTCATCAGGAAATGATCATTATTGTAAACAAAACTGTATGTTTAGTTATAAGGATGTTTACTAAGCCCAGGCCACTATATCTCGACGATATTTAACAACGATTCTATACAAACATGATAAGTATTATATGTGCATTACCTGCAATATGCTCATGAACCCACTTTAAAGCAAGTACCTGGTCTTTCAATCCTGCGTTGCCTGAGACAACGTTGTCACCTGCAAAGATAAGGACAAAATCACCTACATAAACATAAGTGTGTACCCAGGGAATGCATTCAACATAGTATTATAACAATACAATGTATTGCATACGTACAAACCCACACCCCCACACCATATACATACTGTATTCGCTTTATGATGAAAAAATCGTTACAGGCTATATGGTAAAATGCTATACAGTACACAGT